CTGGAAGTTGTCATGCCGCAAGTGCTCGTTGTCTTCTCGAACCTTCCGAATCCAGGAAAACAAACAACGAAGGATCCCGAAAGATCCCGAATCCAAGATGGTCCAAGGCTTGCAGGCACACGGCATCTAGCACAAGGCAACTGACATGACGCCGAATGCCCGAAACCCAAAAGCAAAGCACAGCTCCTGCCTGTCCCAGCAAAACGCGCATTTCTTCATTCTCCTTTCAGCATGTCTGTTTGCCCGTATGTTGTCAGGTTGCAAGGTTGCTGCCAGCTTCATTGCAAAGCTCTGAAGCTCCTCCACCACACCAAGGGTGCGGTTGGAAAGACGCTGATGCTCTTCCTCGTCGGAAATGCAGAGACAACTATTCTGACATGATCGGATTGTATTTCAAGTCCGTAATATACTGGAGACTTCATGCTTGGCTACTGTCAAATATGAAGGGGTCTCCATCCACAGCAGGCAATGACCGGCTCTTTGTGAACAGTGTCTTATGTCTTTGTCCAGTATCATCGAACGGTGTCATTGGTCATGCAAGCATTCCAATATCTGAAACCCTCTTTTGATCCCTGGGGTGACTCTTGGCCATGATTTCAGCTCAAGCTCACTCCAGTCTCTAGATTCATGTATGACTGAAGTCCACAAGGGGCAGCTCTTCCGGCCAAAAAAGCTTCAGAAAGGGATCTCACTGCTCACTCACTTGAGCAGAGTTTTGGGTGTATCGGCCTATGTGGAGCCTACGCGAGTACAGAAAGCTATGGAAGGGTGCCTACGCGAGCAGCAAGCGCCTGCACGAAGTGCGTACGCAGACTTTCCTTTTGGCAACTTACAAGTTTGTGCAAAACACATACACATCCCTACGCGAACCTGGAGTTTCTTGAGCAGCCTGCACAAACTACCAACGCGATCGCTTGCCCCACTAGAATTGCCTACGCGGTGCCTCTGCGACACAAGGCAAGTTGCCCTGAGATTTTGAGCGAATACGACATCTCCGCTCACTTGGCTTGTGGCCATCAGTAGCCGCAGGTCATCTGCAATGAGCTGCATGCGCTCGTTCAGGATCTGAGCGCTCAAATCAAACTATTTGAGGGTCACTCGGTTACTCACACGGGGGATCTGCCTGCTGGTCTCGCCGAATGTCTGCATCTGCTTCAATGCAAACATCGATCTTCCCCATGATGTACCTGTGCACAGACAGGGCTGGGGAATCCCCACTTCTGGACGCTGAGGCGACGACTTCTGCAGGTCCTTCAGGTCCTGGCCAAGCGAGTCTACAACCCAAGCTGTTGGAAGCTTGCAGCAGGGTGCTAACCAAAAACCTCCATGGACCTCCCCAAGCATTTGACTAGCATGTTGAGCAGCCCTATAAGTTCGTTGAAGTCTCAAGATTAACGCGGCTGCAATTTCCAATTTGGTAGCTCGATTCACCAGCAGCGAAGTGCAGGAACCAGCCCACCTGGTTGGTCCCCGTCACAATTGAGTGGAGCTCTTCCTGCAACGACTGTCTGATGTCATCCACAGTCTCGCCAAAGCAATTCAAAGTGGGAGCGTGTGAGAGGTTTGAGCATTTCTGCTCTCATCCCGTTGTCGCTCTGACTCCCTCCTTGTCTTGCATCCACTGTGTGTCAAGCACATTGAGGCGATTGATGCAGTTCTGCACCTGCCGAGGAGTCCAGCGATCCCACTTATCACACTCCATATCACTTGATGTCACTTGATGTCAGTCGAGCGGGCGTTGGTCGCTTATGCGTGTATCGGCCACACCTCGTCTCTCATTTGCAGCGCGTTGGCGCTCAGATCCCGCAGCTCCTGAGATGCGGACGGCTCCAGAACTTCAGCATACGACTTCAGCTTATGAACACTGCTTACGTTCATTCTAAGTCCTCATGATTCAAATGATTCTAATGATTCTACTGGCAAATGAAACGGCAGCTTCGGCTTGTGCCCAGGGAAGGATTCACTCTCGCCTGGAGGTCAAACTGCGCGAGCTTCTCCATAAGTGCACGCATATCCTTCCTTGGCTCCCATGTTCATATCACTGCAAATCTGGCCACTACCAATCCGATGGCCGTATCTGCAAGACAAGCTGCTCCGACTCGCTTTGCTTCTTCATAACAGTCTGTGCAAAAGAGGTGCTTGCAAGACTTGCCAAATCAGCGACCCTTTGGTGCCAGCCTCAATGGCGGGGCCAACTTCATCATAGATGGTGGATTCGCACTGCGCAAGGCGAGCACAAGGCACAACATAGAGCAAACATGTCGATCGGTCTAAAGCAACTTAAAACCCTCACTCGTTCTTTCCAATGCGCTGGCTTTCTTTTGCTGGCGCGCTTCATCCGAATCCGAACGGATTCCGTGGGCCATTCCAGAGAGCTGGGACTCTGGGACCTTTGATTTCTCCAAGTGAAGGAACTGCCTCCAGGCCGACGGATTTCAGGGGCCTTGAAAGCCATGGGGAAACTCACGTTGGGCCCTGAGCCAACTGTCGCTCTACTTCGCCGTGCCATATCTGATAGGCCTTGGGGAAAATGGCCGTCTCAAACAGCAGCTTTGAGCTCTGCACTGAGCGCTCCGCTGCTTCAGCGACATCCACTCTGGCAAGCCAGACTTGGCTGCCCGTCTCTCCAGGGCGCGGAATCCCTGGTCCACAGCGCCAACCTGAACGACTGAAGCGACTGTAGCGAGCGAAGCGAGCGAAGCGACATGACGCGTCTCTGGCCTTGAACGGTGCTCGGAGAACCTTCTTTTTGGCGAAGATTCGCCCATCGTCCTCCCAAACGGCATGCTTCCCAAACTTTCGGACAGTGATCCACAATCAATGCAATCCATGTTCCCTGAATTTGCCTAGTATTTCAAACTACTTCGGCCAATACTATTTCCTTTCATAGTTCCGCAGATTGTCCCTGGAGGCCTCGAAAAAATGAGCTAGCCAGAAACAGGCACTATCGTGCTACTCATAGAGGGCACCCTCCTTCAAGACCACTCCGCCGTAGTGATTCAAGCTCCAAACTGGAAAAGAAAGGCACAAATTCCTGTTCCATTGCAGTCCTGTTGGCCAAACAGAGATAGGATTGGAACAGACAGGAGAGGGGCCCAGGTTCCCCCCCAATTCTTTTCGGAACCTTGTCAACAATCTTACGGGGGATCATTCGTCTCCGAGTCGGCCTCTGTCCCTTGCCTAGGTCCTCCAGTAGAGAGGCTAGAATAAGGGTAATTACCCTTTTTCTGTAGTCGATTTTAGGGGAACCCTCCCCCAAGAATGGTCAGAGAGCACTGGGGGAGCTAGTTGCACTTCTGCTGTTACCGTCTCCATCTCCCCGGGCATGCCTCCTCTCCCAGCAGCTGCGAAGTGCCCGCTATCACCCCGTGCTTCAGCGAGTGGCTGATGGCCACGTTGAGATTTGCCTCGAAAAGGTGCCATAGCCATAGCTATGGCCTCCCTTCCCCTGAAGTGCCAGCATGATACTATTTGCCACTGCTTGTAGTCAGCTGCCTTGTCATCCTGACAGTGCTTGGCAAAGTGAATGGTGTCTACAGAGTGATACTTCCAAAGCCGCTGTGATTTGTAGAACGCTGGTCATGCAGTTCTCTGTCCGCATGGACAGCCGGGAAAAAACATGTGTCGCTTGCCTTCACCAGCTCTTCGCCTGGGAAAATGCCAACGACCTCTCCCCGAACGTCTAGCAGTCTAGCACATTGCACGGTCTCAGTGACGAGCCAAGTTGCCAGTGCCATGGACAGCAAGTATCCCCACCACTCGCTCCTCTCCCAGGACCTCACCTTGCAAGCTCTCACACCCCATCTGCTGGCCGCTTCGGGTGCTGACACCAGATGACCATAGCCTCTCAAGATCTCCCAATGCCAAGCTGCAACACCTGTCATAGAGCTCTTGCGAGAAGATAGGTGCGTCGCCTGGTCTGTTGAGGATGAAATCCACCTCGTGATGCAACGGCCAAGTCGTAGGATGATCAGGCATCAAGCAAGTCCTGCTGCCGAACACTCATTAAAATGCCCCACAAGGTGTATTCCGCGTATTTTCCACGTGTCAAGTCCTTTTTGCTGTGGATGCTGTGACAGGATGTGGCCGGTTTGCCAATGTTTAGGGTCTGCATGCAGCGGGGCCGCCATGGCACGATGGACCTGATCCACTGATCGCCGGCTGCCCCGGACACGCAGAAGGACATCCAGGCGCAGCCGGTAGGCCTCACGAGCTGACTCTCCGATCCCAACACATATTCTGTTTCGCTTGCGAGCCCCGCGTGGAGCGTTCGCGCCACTATTTTTGCAAAGGCGATTCCTCTGTGACTCAAAGCTTTTTGTCCGAGATCCAACACGCGTCAATCTCATGCATGCGCTAGCAATCCTTATGAACGCACACTTCCTTCTGGAGTCAACAAGAACTGGGGGCTTATGGGCGAGGCGTTGCGTGTCGGATTCCTGGCCTCAAGACTCAGGGGCACCCCTTTGTCCTTCACGGCCTTGAGCAAGCTCATTGTCCGCACGGCGTCCGCTACCTGACAAGTTCCGTCTGGATCTGATTTATGAGCTCTTCAGAACTCCGAGTGCAGTGCGGGCATCATGACTTGACCACATCTCACACTGCATGCAACCCAGGACTACACCGAGCGCCTTGACATATGATGCAGCCATCGCATAATATGGCAGCCTTGTCAGGCAAGCTGTGACAGCTGACCCGTACAATGCGCGCTGAAAGTCGCGCACGATGAAGCTGCCACAAAGCCAAAATGGCAAGCCACCCTGCATCACGTGGATCCAAAGGTTCTCCAAGGATGTCCCTCTTCTCCGCCCGCACATAAAACTTTAGCCATCTCAGCATTTGGTACCTGATATGTGGAAGATGATTTGAGGGGACAATCCATGCATGCCACAACTCCCGACACTTCCGTGACATCTCACATGGCACATATTTCAGTATTGTCCTGCCAAGGCGCCGGTTGCCTATGTGCTCCCAAGCTTCAATCACGCCTGAATTCATGTTGCCCCCATGTTGTGAAGCTTCCCAAGAATTCACAGACGACTTGCGGGCATTGTGCAGTCTGGAAAGCCAAGGCGGGTTTTCCGCATACTTTAACTGCGAACTCGAGCTAGCAGCTACTCCCTTAGCAATGGCCAAGTCACTAGCAAAGCTGCGTGCATCAGGTTGGAGCCCCAGCTGCTTCATCCGTCGGAAGTGATACTCCGCCTGGGACATCATCCACACTGCATCTGTGACTTTGACATGTTCCCCTGGTTTTCTTCGGGGCGTCCCAATTGGATTTGGATCTTTGGATCCGAGGGGAAACTCGAGTTCCCGACTGCGTGCCTCGGTTGGCCGGCCCGCTTTTGCATAGGACGCTATCAGGCAGTTCATCTCCAAGCGGCCAGTGGCCTGATGGCTTGGCAACCGAATCCACAGACGCCACAAACCTCTCCTGGGCCTCGCCATAGGTCTCCTTCTTCCAATCCATCCACCATCTTGCAGCCGCGTGATTGCCAGTTGCGCCGAAGGCGAGGATCAGCAACTGACGACGCCCAGGCTGGTTCCAAGGTTTGATCGTTGGTATATATATATATATATAACAATATGCTAATATATATATATATATATATATCAATGTTCAGTACTATATATTGTATTATATTATATTGAACAATATTATATCAGTTCATATCATTATGATGATCAGTGGGCATCAGTTCCGGTCCTGCCTTGTACGTTCGCTTGCTGGGGGTCAGGTTGTTCAGGAGCATCTCCCAAGCCCAGCCCCTGCACACTGAAAACATGTCCAAGTCGATTCATAGTACCGCACCGACAAAAAACACAAACAAGTGGTTGTCAGCTCCATTCAAACAGAGTTCCCGATACTTCCCCCATACACTTAACCCCACCTTTGCCACTTTAACAACATGTTTTTTTTTTCCGCAAGCAAAGAAGTACAGGGAACCCTATGTGGGAAGGTACAGGTCAAAGGTGAGCTTAGGCGAGCGCTTGGCCCGCTTGGCAAACTCCTGGCGCTGGATGAGCAAAGGATAGCGCACTTCCTGCCGAGCTCGCTGAGCGAAGACCTGCGGCACTTTGCGCGTCTTTCAAGCTCCAAACGTCTACCGAAAGATGCAGCTATGTTTCGAATATGGCCATGGGTCAAAAGCCAAATCGTACCCCCAGTAAACATCCGATTCAATCCAACCACTAAAGTAGGTCCTAAAATGGGTGCACCTACCCCAAAATGGGATCCCATTCGCTTTGACCCACAGCCATACTTCCCTCACGTTGTCCCTGGACTGCCTGACCTGGATCACACGGTTGAGGTCCTCCTCCAAGGGCGCTCGCCCCTCGATGAGTTCTCTACGTAGCAGCTGCTCCCGCTTCGTGGGTCGCGCGACCTCTCGACTTGGAGGCAGCGTTGCTCTCCTAAAGGCCTAAAGGGCCTAAAGGCCCCGTGTAGGGCCTAAAAGGGCCCACTCTCTCCAAACCTTTTGCCCAATTTGCCCCTTTTGCCACTTTCGCTTTTCCTTTTTCTCGGCAGTCCCGTAGCAAGATCCGAGGCCTGGCCGGGAATCGCCCGTGGAGGTCTCAGCTTCATCAACTTCACCACGGTCTCCCAGCGCTGAGCCTGGAGACGCTTCAGCTGCCGTCAGGACTCTGAGATACTCTGAGGCATGCACTAGGAATGGATGCTTCCCGTAACCCCTGCCATACCTTGCGTGAGCAAAGAGCCTGAACATGCCTGAACATTCCAAGTTGGAAAGCTCCAAGCTCTACTTGTCCTGTCAGCTCCATGGCGAACAGCTGAGGTCGATACCAGGCCCTCTGCTTGTTCAGCAGATTCTGCGATCGATACCTTGAAAGTACAAAGGATGTGGTTTACCGCACAAAGCACACATGATGCACGCTCTGCAAAATCCATTGCCCCAGTGCAAGCTGAAGGTTGGGACCTGTGTACTGAGTCTGGCACGTCTCAACCTAAATGCAAACTCTGTGCTCGTTTGTGCCCACGACTCGTTGCGCAGTAGAGGTTCCCTTTCTCAATAGGATCCGGACTACGCGAAAGATGGGAGCCTGACAGGAGCACGAAAGCATTGAGTGCATGACTGCAAGGAATGCATGCCTTGCCTCCTTTGGTACTGGGTGGCTTCCAGGGAACACTGGCTTCCTTAGGTATTCCCTCACACTCATGATAGGCACTGCCTCATGCTCTCTCGCTCGGAACAGTGTTTCAAACGACGCTGCTGGCCAAGCCGAATGGAAACAATGCTGCATGAATGCGTGAAAATACATGAACATTGGGCAGGTCATGTGGCATGGTGAAATGGTAAATGGTGCAATAGGTGCTACAACGTACCAAAGTATCAGCCATGCACATATGAAATGTTGGTTATTATTGGTGTGTCTCAGAATGTGTGTTTTACTTTAGTTTCCCTGGTAGTGTAGAATCAACCTAAAAAGGCTACCCTCAAAAATCAGTCACCCTGTACACGTGTGAGTACAACTCTTCTGGGAGCTGACCCTGTTACTTGCATTCTGCCAGGTGCTCCCCGCAATGGAGACCAATCAGTGTCACTGTGTTTGGGCTGTGACAGGCTAGCAGTCAGCGAGAACGCTGAGGGACAGTCAAAGCCACAAGGAGGAGGAAGGATGAAAGCGGCGGCAGAATTCGTGGCGACTGTCCCCCACCAACTTTCAAATGAAGCGTTGCTGTGAATCATGACTCACTATGACCATGTATACGCATGCTGTTTGGGTGTTCCAGAGCGTTGAATAGTGGCGGTTGGCGGGTTTTGCAAAGAGAGGAAGCAAACTGTGTTCGCCTGAGTTGCCACTGCCCCTTTCTTGTGTATGCGGCTTTACATGGCTGCAACGCCTCTTGGAAAGCGAACAAGCAGAGCCTAAATCTGGCAGATCTTGGTCCTGAGCAGATCGAGCAAGAAGCTCAATCCTGGAAGCCCCCCGAAGCCCCACCGCCTTTCAGCAAAACGCGGTGGGCGATCCTCTTAGGTGCAACCACGCGTCATGTCGCCCGACTGCGGTCGCAAAGCGGGCGGTGCAGTGGCTGCCGTGGCTGCCGGGCCAGATGCTACAGCAGCCAGCGCTAGCACCTTAGCAAAGCAAAGGACTCAAGTGGATCAGCTCCAACACCAATGGTCCTGGTACCATTTCGGGGTAGGTGCACCACCCATTTTAGAACCTATTTCAGTGGTTGGATTGGGATGTTCACTGCGGGTACGGGGTTTTGACCCATAGCCAAGTGAAGCCATGTGTAATGTGTAATGCTGGCTCTGTGGAGGCGATGAGAACACAAGAAATCAGCATCTCCCGCACACTCCCGTTGCTAAATGCAAGCAAATCTACTCCGGTAGCTACTGCCCATCTGGTCCATCTGAACCGTTCCCATGCGGCCCATCTACTTGTGGCCTTCGCCGACCTGACAGGGTCCGGCGCGAAACTTTGCAGCTGACTCTCTGGGATTCAGAAAGGTGCTACTTGGTGACTTTTTGGGGGGGCCACTAGAAAAGGCGCTCATGGTGATGTCGCCATCGACATCTGTACCACGATCTTGCAAGACACCGTTCCCATCACATGCCCTGGCACCCGCCTCATGGCCCAAAATGGCCCAGTCTCAATCCCAACCCATCCTGAAAGCCAATGCTGCGGGCTGAGCACCTTAGCCGCCTTAGCCCTCCAAGTATGGTGGACATTGGTATGACACAAGCAGGAAGCGCAGGAAGGACATTCCAGGCAGATCCAAGCAGGGAAGGCAGAGGGGGCAGTGCCTTCTTTATCATCTTTGCCAACTCCTCTGATGCCACCTTGGCTCAGCATGTTTGGCGTGTCAAGCTTGCGGTTCTGTCAGCGCCTGAAGCTTCATGTCGCTGCGCTGCTCTGCTTCACGAAGCGCAAGCTGGGAGGAAGCGCCAGCCAATGGCGTTTCAAATTGCACGGAAATCATTTGAACACGGCGCCTCGAGAGCATCCACACGAGAAGTGAGGTGAGTATTCTGAGCCTTCAGATCTATGCAATATGCAGGACTGACGTGGCGAGAAGCTTTATGAACAACCCCTGGCCCCTCTCTGCTCTGCAAGATCTTCAGCCCATCCTCCACTCCACGGATCCGCACAAATTGATGGTGTTCAACCACCTGCCGTGCATTGATGGCGTTTTCGCGAGTTGTGCAATAAATGTGGAACGCAGTTGAGTCCCAATGGTACAATTACGAGGTCTCATATCTGCATGGTTGAGGTTGAGCCTTAATTTCGCATTCGCCAGAGGCGGCGTTGGACAGGGCGCGCTGCAGGTCCTTGCACATCTCACAGGCAAACACTTCAGGGGGAGTTCAGGGGGAGAGCGTGAAAGAGAAACATATTGATACATGCTGCATCATGTTGGGATGAGTCTCACAATGACCTTCTCCCTTTGACATGTTAAGACTAGCTCAAAGCGTGTCCACGGAGGGCAATGGATACGAGGGAGATACAGGCAGTCATCCCACAAAATAGTGTGAGAAGCATATGTATCTCAAAAACAAGCCATTTCCGTCTGTTCATTTTCTGACAAGCGCGGCAAGTCAGGAAACAGAGTAGGAAAGGGGTTGAGAGTCAGAACACAAGCTCAGGGCAGGAAGCAAAGGAGTGATCATCAAGAAACTCAAAGAGAACAAAGTTCGGCGAGTCAGGAAGTTCGAAAAGTTGGAGAGAACGAGGTCGTTACCTAAGCACAAAGTTTGAAGTCAGGAGAATACGGCTCGGTGAGTCAGGAAGCACCGCGGAAAGCGTTGCCTAAGGAAAAAGTTGGAGTCAACAAACCCCAAGCAAGCCTAACCCCGAACCCACCAGTCCCCAAACCTAAACCAACCCTAAACCAAGCAAACACCAACTCTAAAAGCCAACACCAACGAACCCCAACCAATCTGAAACAAACCCTAAAAAGACCCACACAAGACACATACACACATACACACAAGCACACACACACACACACACCTAACCCAACTGAGCATCA